AAGCAACATGTGGAATTTCTGAGAGACTGGCGCAGTAAGGATGGTCTTTTCCTTCATCTGGGAGATCCGCAGGAATCAACGAGGATCAACACCACTCCGCCAACCCCACACCAGAGTCAGAGTCATTGGCGAGTTGAAGCAGCATGGCGGATCAAAGGTTCGACTACTCAAAAACAGCAGCGGAGAGCAGCTGGGAGCCAGGAGGCGCATTGCAGCTGGAGCAGAAGATTGAAGACTCAGCAAAGGCGAAGAGTTGCAGTGTTCACAAAGGCTTCGACGAGGACGTCGAAGGGATAAGTGGGGGAGAATGTCACGGACAAACTTTGAAACAGGGTGTTTGATGTAATGCTTATGTATGTCCGTGTCTGTTGGTATGATCATACCTTGTACCGTGTGTAGAGGGGCAGCCGAAGGCTTATAAGTCCTGTTTTAGTTGGGTTGGTGGCCTCTTTAGGCTTGTAAATAAAGGTTGTGTCATGTAGACACGTGCGAGAGCTTTTCGGTCTGTAATGGACCATTTTACCCTTTGTTGTGCCACTGTTCAGAGCTTGTAAAGTCTGTTTGTAATTTGCATTGTCTATGAAGTGTTTTTCGGACATGTTTGCTTGTGGATCCCGTTTGAGGCGTTCTCTCTAACCCGTTCTCTCTTTTGGTGGTCCTAAGGGACAATGGGAGGCTTCGGAGAGGCTGACTTTTGCGGACGGACACGCAAGGGTGCCGCACGCCTTAGGCAAAACCAGCTAAGGTCGTGACAGAGCGGTATACCGCTCGGTATATAGTACCGTATCATACTGAGAAAATGGCAAAACTTCGGTACGGTACAATATTTCAATCCTTGGTTTAGTTATAAAAAAACTCTCCATGTGTATATTGAATATAAAAGAAATTTCATTGCATAAGCAAATTATTGCTTAATTGTATCAGAAAATGCACAAGAATTCATGGATCATGATCATCATGTCCAGTTATCAACATAAAAGACTTGCAGCAGTTAGGGTCTCAAACAGTTGTATAACACTGATGTCCAAGTAAGATAAAAGAGAAAATGGAGGTTAGCAAGACATGGGATGTCCAGAAATACAAGTTGCTTCAGAATGAGATAACAATACATCAAACAGATGCTCCTGAACATTTTTGGCAAAATACAATGTCAAACTTCATACTTGTAAGCACAAGGTTGGTTCTGCATGTACACACTTCAGCATAAAACTAGTTAAGGATACCACAAAACAACATGAAGGTCTAAATCAAAAACTTGACAATTGATTTTTGCATATTTAGGAGAGTGCAACTTGGTATGTCTATTTAGAAGATGATTGCTCTGTTTCTTGATGAAAGGAATAACCTATAGTAATAGAGCCTCTCTTATTATTTGTGAAACACATAATTGCATACTTATATTTATTTTTCTTAAATAAAATGTTGACGAATACTTACCAACAGTTGCCATGGTTACTATGGCAAAATATAATGATGTTATGTAGCGCCTCCAAAGATCAATCTTTCTGAAATGGTTATAGTTGTAATCACCCAGCTTTAAGCTTCCTATCCACGTATAACTTTCCATAGATTCAGGCAGAGTGGTTGCTAGGTAATAAAAAATGCAGGCAGCTGTATGTGTGCAATAGAGTTCCACAACTATAAGTTTAACAATTCTTGTGAACAAGTAATTGATGCGAATATCCTTCTCCATCTTCTGAAAAAAAGCTGTGACTTTGCGAACCCGAGTTAATCGAATCCACAGTAGGTATCTTATTTCTTCTTTATTTCCTGAAGCCTGTATCAGCAAATTGAACAATAGAAACTCTTGACTAAGCTTATACATGCAAAAAAACAACCTAAAGTAGAAGGGTCAAAGGAAAGTAAGTTACTTGAGAGTTGAGACATCAAAAATAATGTAAAAACCACATCCTTTTTTCTAATGACTTTGATATATTGTAAAGTAATAGCACTTGTTCACCTTTAGTATAACGCTCCTTTCATTCAAGCTTAATAATAAGTTAATAGCAAACAATCATGAAAGTCAACTAATATGGAGAAGGGCCAAAAAGTCACAAATAAATGCGCCAAACATTTTTTTCAATAATAACCAAAGCTCAAAACTTGAACGCTCAATTCAAATACTTCCCTAGCATTTTTTCTGCCAGTTATTTTATTTACATATTAAGGTCCTTTAAGCCCCCAGTTTCAATTTGGCATGCCTTCAATTTTCAAGGCAATTAATAGAAGAGGAATGGTCTTTGGAGTTACAGGTTCAATAATCTTACAACTTATCTAATACAAAAGGAATGGTTTTCGAAATTGCTGGCTTGAATTATGGTTGATCTTACCTTCTTTAATTTAGATTTCTCTTAATCCACTTTATTAGCAAGATGAGGGAGATCGCGCAGGACTTCAAGACGGACCTGCGGTTCCAGAGCCACGCGGTGCTGGCAAGATTCAAACTTTAAATTATTCAAAAATCTGCTTGACAGTTATTCTAGTAACTCCCATCAACCAAATTACTTAATTGTCAATTGACAATAACTTGAATAAATCTCGAGTCAATGTTTAGTTCCAGAAGCATCCAAGAAGATTTATAAAAAGGTGCTATAAACTAATTACACTAATTTTCTTCTTTTAGTAGCAGCTTTTATATTTAGTTTTAATTGTCTAGTCCTTATTATTCAGGCAGACATGCATACAATCTAATAGGACTTCACATTCTTCATTTCCATAATGGTTTTGAGGATGAAGGTGAGCATGAATTCTTTGTACACCTTTGCCATAGTTTTTTCATATAGTTGAATTATTGCCGATTGATGATCTTGTGACTAAGTAGAAAATTCTAAAGACTGATCGACGTCCTAAAGGGCTCCCAAATACACTCTTGTTAAAGGTAAAGCAAAAAAACAATCCGATGGAAATTTTGCTGGCAGAAACGTCATACATCATCTGCTTGAACCAAAAGCAGAGATATGAAATTAGAACGTTACCTTATAAATATAATCCCAAGGAAGGCAGCCGAGCAAATCAAAAACAAAGTTCGATTTCATGTACCTGAGAACATCAGGAAAACCTCAGATGAAAATTATTTCGGAAGTTATTAATCCAAATGCATAAGGAGGATGAACAAAAACGAGATTACCGCAAGGCAATGGCCGTGGGGTTGCGTACCATGCGGTACGTGTGGGGATCCCGGTAGGCGAGGAGGAATTGGACGAAGATGTCGACGAGGAAGGCGACCTGTCCAGCGACGTCGAGAAGGAATAGGTTCTTCGGAAGCCCAAGGAAGAAACCGAACTCCATCGGCGTGAAGAAGGACGAGTACACCGCCCACAACAATATGAACTGCGTCCATAACTGGTACCACCTGCACCACCACCACCACCACCATCAGCGCCGCGGCCAGTTGTACCGTCGATCGAATCTCACCGCGAGTAACCATAACACCATTGGGCCTCAACTGCGGCTAACTCGTTTGGAAACGTGAACTCGCCCCGTGGGTTGGCAGCTCGAGATCATAAGGACAGTAGGACCCACTATTTTGTCCAATAAAAAGTAGCCATGTCTGCAAATTAGATGTACCCTGACATGGCCAAAACAGCTGAGGTAGTACCAACATGCGGCACAAGCACTTCTTGTACAGGGCAGCTCTGCACTGGTCGCCTAAGCGGCGAACAGCTGCAGACGATGTACCAGTACGTAATACCATTTTAAATTTGCGAGGATCGCGGAGTCTAAGCCATACAGCGAAGTATATATGCATATCCACAATATAAGTTAAACAGGTCTTAGCAAGAACATGGAACGTAGCAACACGACAAATTTCTGATCAACTTCAAACGTCGTAACATCTCCACCAGATGGAAGGCTACACACAAACCACACCACGCAACCCTTGTAAGTCTATTTTACTATCAATTTAGCTGACTCTGTAGAGTCGATTGAGATTTATGCTTTTGTTTTCTTTCACATATGACATGAACGTGTGAAACTGATGGTTTTCTTTTTCTAACCTTTGTGTGTCGGTGTATGGAGAAGACACTCCTGGATTCAACTCTTGGTTAATGAACGTGACTAGTTTTTACACTTTATATCGTGATTTGCCAGAAAGTTCACAGCAATCCGAGTTTGATATTGATGCATAACAAGGGGACTTCGATAAGGTTCATTGACCAGTCTCTTAAGCTCTTCTTTCACATGTTATGGAAGGGAGGGTTGGGTCCCGCACGGACCCGCCAGGGTTTGGCCAATCCGTTGATGGCATCAATTTGTATTACTACTCAGTGTGAACCAGATAGAGAGAGTTATATGATTCGTGTTCTGTTGAGATAACGCACTTTCTAACCGTCCGTTGAAGTGCCATCTTAACGCTACCGTCGACGTCCATTTCGTGGATCGCAATCGAGTTTGAGGAAAAACTCATCTAAGACTAAAAAATAGAAGGAGAAAGAAAGGAAGGAGCGAAGGAAGAGGGAGGGAGAAATTGTTACCAGTTATCAGGGAGGATGACGAAGCGATCGAGGAACTTCTCGCCGCTGGGCCTGCAGGCGATGCCGAGCCGGAGGTCGGACGCCAGGAGCGCGATGAGGCTGCCGCGCGACGACCCCATCGGCTCCTCCAACTCCTCGTCAGCCGCCACGTCCTCCTCGGCCTCCGCCGGTCGGGGCGCCATCACTGCCGCCAGTGCCCGCCTCCACCGGGCCCGTGTTCTCTCCCTCTCCATGATCGGGTCGGATCGGAACGGAAACCTTTATGGCGGGCGGATCTCGATGGGAGGGCGAGGCGAAGGCTCCTCCTCCGCCGTAAGGATTAGGAGGGAGCGAGAGAGAGAGAGAAATGGGGTGAAACGAGAAGGACACAGCGGATAAAGAATTTGGAGAATTTATAGGCGCGCCGCGCGCCACAGGAGAAAGGGTGAACTAAAATAGGTCCCCGGGCGCAGTTTAAGGGATGCTGCTGCGAGAATAAGGCTTCTTCCAATGCACCTGCGGCATATCTTATCTTATGATATTAATATTTTATTAAGTATTTATTTTCTATATATTTATAGTAATATATATATATATATATATATATATATATATATATATATATATATATATATATATATA